AATTACCAATTATAATAAATGCTATAAAGGAAAAAAGCAAGGATCTGACAGAAAGACCAACTTTAGATATGAAAGTCAGAGAAAGCTTCTCTGAGGGAATATCATTTAAGCTAAAATCTAAAGAAAGAGAGCTAACTTACCTGTATCTCTAACCTCAGGTCCTGCCTAACACTTTTCACTTCATTCATACCAAATGCACTAGAATGAATCACTGCTAATTCAATGTCTTTAAATATGCTATTTCCTTTCCCATCAATGCCTTCTCAATTCAACTGGTAATATTTACCTGTTCTTCAAAATCCAGCTTAAGTGCCATCTGTTTCCAAAGCTGGTCTGGTATCTTTTATATTCTTCTATTCCTCTCCTTAATCTCCCATTTACAGAGTAATGGAATTTGTATTCATTTATCTATTTCCTACTTTAGATGACAGACTTTGATGCTAATGACCAGGTCTTATTTAACTTTGTACCTTCAAGATTTTAATACAATTCTTAGACCAGAGCTGACAACTTCATAAAAGTGTGCTGAATAAATAAATAAATCTGGATATATTTTAAAGCAATTCCAAAAGAAGTTCTCACAGATAATAAACAAATTCCTCCACTCTGCCCTCAAAAGCCAACTACATGCCATCTATGTGAACCTGATTAAGTCCATTCTACCCTTCAATAGCACTGATTTTCTAAATAAAAAAGAAATGATGTGCCTCTGAATGTGGTACATTTCCTACTACAAAAGCAACGGATTTTCTTTTTTTTTTTTCTTTTTCTCTTTTCTTTTCTAGCAACGGATTTTTTAAAATGGGAAGGCAAACTCTCAGACAATATTATAAAAAGGACTCAAATGCCAAAAGTCACCAAAATTGTAGCTGGGTTACATAAACAATTATTTTTCTTTTTTTTTTTTTTAGAGACAGGGTCTGGCTCTGTCACCCAGGCTGCAGTGTGGTGGTGTGAACATAGCTCACTGCAGCCTTGAACTCCTGGGGTAAGTGATCCTCCTGCCTCAGCCTCCTGAGTAGCTGACACTACAAAAGCACAAGCTATTATGCCTGGCTATTAAGTGTTTCTTAACTTATAATCAGGGGAACACTGATGCTAAGAAATTTGCAATTATGTCTTAGTATTTAAAAAACTAATTTAGTGTAGGTTTATTTTATTTTTTTTTTTTTTTGAGACAGTCTCACCATGTCACCCTGGGTACCGTGCTGTGGTGTCACAGCTCACAGCAACCTCAAACTCCTGGGTTCAAGCGATTCTCTTGCCTCAGCCTCCCAAGTAGCTGGGGGACCACAGGCGCCCACCACAATGCCCAGCTATTTTCTTGTTGCAGTTGTCATTGTTTAGCAGCCCCAGTGTATGTGGCAGGGTGCTGTAACCACTGTACTACAGGCGCCAAGCCAGGCCATAAATTTTAGATAAGGGATCTAGTAAAAGCCTCATTAAGAAGGTGAAGGAGGTTAAGAGAGGTAGCCCTACAGACAGTGGGAGATCAATGGTCCAAGCAAAGGAAAAAGTAAATGCAAAAGGCCCTCCAGTGGACATCTGCCTTCACATTAGGAAATACAAAAAAAAAAGCATGCAGTTGGAGACAGAGAAAGGGGTGAGAAGTAAACAAATGAGGGCAGAGAAGTATGGGAGTGTCCTGGGTCATGTAAGGCTCTACTAGTCACTGTAAGAACACTAGCTTTTACTCTGATGTATGGGAAGCTACTTAAACATTCTGTATAGAAGTCATATAATCTGACTCATTTTAACAGGATCATTCTGGCTGCCATGTTGAAAACACAATAAAGGTGATAGGGCTTGCTGGCCCAAAGCAGAATCCTGATTGGCAGCACTTGGAAGCTTATTAGAAATCCAATTTCTCAGGTTCCACCCCAGGCCTTCTAAATCAAAAATCTCTGAAGCACATTATGAGGCTTAAGAAGCTGCATTTTAATACGCTCTCCAATACACTGGGAGGCCAAAGCAGGGGACTGCTTGAGCTCAGGAGTTAGAGACCAGCCTGATCTCAAGTAAGACACTGGGGCAGCACCTGTGGCTCAGTGAGTAGAATTCAAACCCAGCCCCCGCCAACTGCAACAAAAAATAGCCGGGCGTTATGGTGGACACCTGTAGTCCTAGCTACTCTAGGCTAGGAGGCTGAGGCAGGAGAATCGCCTAAGCCCAGGAATTGGAGGTTGCTGTGAGCTGTGACATCACCGCACTCTATCAAGCCCAAAAATCTGAGGTTGCTATGAACTGCGATGTCACTGCACTCAACCTAGGGCAACAGAGTAAGACTGTCTCCAAAAAATAGAAAAAAGTTTCTCAAGTGATTAGTATGTGTATTAAATGTTGAGAAACCCAGATCAAGAATTCTCTCCTCTCATATATTCACTGGGCTCATTCACTTCTTTCTTTCAAGAATTTACTCTAAGGTTACTTTCTAAGTGATGATTTCAATTTGAAACACCAGCAAGTAGCATCGTTCCTTATGACCTTTCCTGTTTTGTTTTTCTCAAAGGATTTATTTAATTTACAATTTTGTTTATTATGTTTTATCTGTTTCCTCTCACTAGAATATTAACTCTATAAGGATGGTATTATTTGTTTCATTCACTGCTGTATTCCTAGCAACTAGATCAGTACCTGGCACATCACAAGTATCAAAAAACAAAAAAGATTCTTATTGAACAGCATGAATGGCAAAAGGAGAAATGGTTAAAGTGTTAGGAGGAAGCTAAAGTTGGGCCTACTGGAGAACACTGAGATAAATCAAATTTCTACATTTCTATTTAAGTACAAATAGATAATGATCTAGATACAAAGGTTTTATTCTATTTTAACAAGGGGTAATCTAATGAGGAATCACTAATTCAAGTATCATTAATTTGGATTTTTTCATATGGCAAAAAAGAAGTGCTAAATAATTACATCTGAACATTACTTTAATGCAAAGTATTATACATACTGAAGAGAATTCTTTACTAATAAGAACATTAGTACTTATTTATGAAAAAAATGACTGCTATGCTGTATGTCATTCCTACCAATTCATTAAACCAAGTTTCCCCAAAGGACTTCTACTTGATCAAGTAGCTTCCTTAAACTAGTTCACATTGTTCTTCACATTAACAAGTAACAAAATAGCATTTAACTGGAGTAATAGGATAGTAAATGAACTCACCCGTGTCAGGCACTACATGAAACACCCTACTGGTTCATTTTACTTAACCTTGGTAATATAGATAGCAGCATCTCTACTTTTTAAAAATCAGAAAATATTTTTAAGGGACAAGTAGCTTATTCAAGATTATAAAATTATTAACTGGAGAAGATGGGAATTCAAAACCCATGTAATGTTATTCCAGAGCCCATGCTCTTAACTATCTTACTATGTCACTTTGATTATTTTGTCCTTGTTTTTAACGAGGTTTTTCATTAATTCACATGATAAAACACTTAATTGAATATTTTTTTGAGACAGAGTCTCACTTTGTCACCCTTGTAGAGTGCCCTGGCTCACAGCAACCTCAAACTCTTGTGCTCAAGCCATCCTCTTGCCTCAGCTTCCCAAGTAACTGGGACTGCAAGTACCTGCCACAATGCCTGGCTATTTTTAGAGACAGGGTTTCCCTCTTGCTCAGGCGGTTTTGAACTCCTACTCAGGAAATTCACCCACCTCAGCCTCCCAGAGTGCTAGGATTACAGGCATGAGCCATCATACCTGGCCAATTAAGTGATCTTAAGTACTGCTACTTCCCAAACTTTAATCATTCAGGTATCCTCATGTTTACATTTTTGTCAAATCTAAACATTACCAGTATTTACTTCATACTATATATTGACTTATTTTTTTTAAACATGGCCTTTTCCTAAGCTCTATGTATATATATTTATGAGGTTGATATTTTTTCTTATATAAGACAACTCTATAAAAAAATTTTTAAGGGTGGCACCAGTGGCTCAGTGGGTGGGGCACCAGCCCCATATACCATGGGTGGCGTGTTCAAACCCGGCTCCAGCCAAACTGCAACAAAAAAAATAGCTGGGCGTTGTGGCCGGCTCCTGTAGTCCCAGCTACTCAGGAGGCCGAGGCAAGAGAATTGCCTAAGCCCAGGAGTTAGAGGTTGCTGTGAGCTGTGACGGACGCTACAGCACTCTACTGAGGGCAATAAAGTGAGACTCTGTCCCTAAAAAAATAAATAAATAAATAATTTTTTAAAAATCTATCCATATTGGGTCAGCGCCTGTGGCTCAGTGAGTAGGGCAGGGTGCCGGCCCCATATACCAAGGGTTCGAACATGAACCCCAGCCAAACTGCAACAAAAAAATAGCTGGACGTTGTGGTGGGTTCCTGCAGTCCCAGCTACTCAGGAGGCTGAGGCAAGAGAATTGCCTAAGCCCAAGAGCTGGAGGTAACTACAGCTGTGAGCTGTAACACTATCGCACTCTACTGAGGGCAACAAAGTGAGACTCTGTCTCTAAAAAAAAATACAAAATAAAAAAATCTACCCATATTCCATCAACTATGTACCAACATAATTAGAAAACCATTTCTGGATTCTTTACCAGTGTTTCTCAAAGAGTAGCAAATGATTCAGAAATGGCTCCTTTTTATTTCTACATCAAGGTCACAGAAACACCAGGAAAATCACTTATAAAAGGAAATTCTTTAATTTAAACAAAATCAGGATTAAAGTTACTTGAAAAATATGGACAAATTTCTAAATTACTAATTAAAAGAAAAATCAAGACCCAGAACAAAATGAATTTTACAACCGTTCTCAAGTAAATCATAAACAATGTTCTAATTAATCTCTACTTCTCTTCTTCCTGTCAAAGAATTTGCTGCACTGTAACCAAAAGGATTTTTCAAAAAATCTGATCATAGCATTACCTTAATTAAAACCCTTCTCCTGGAGAAAATTTAGGGAGTTACGATTTAAATTTAAAACAAAACAAAAAAATTCTTCAGTGGCTTCTCAAAAATACTTATTATGAGAAAGTCCAAAATCTCATTAGGACATGGAAACAACCTAAATGCCCATCAACTCAGGAATGGAGTAACAAACTGTGGTACAAGCACATCATGGAACACTATTTAGCCATAAAAAAAGACAGTGACTTCACATCTTTTATAATATCCTGGATGGAACTGAAACATATCCTTCTTAGTAAAGTATCACAAGAATGGAAAAGCAAATACCCCATATACTCAATACTAATATGAAGCCAGCAGACAAACCAATGCATGCCCAAATAGGAGAAAAACTCATTTCAATTCGAGAGGAGGGGTAACAAGGGAGGGAGAGGGGCTTGGGGTGCTCTCACTGAATGGGCATGGAGTGAGGGGGTTAGTACATCTTTTGTTGTGGGGGACAAAACCACAAGACAAACTCTACCTAACAAAATCAAATATTTTGACCTGGTTGCTTGTATCTTCACATTAATCTAAAATAAATTTACTTAATTTAAAAAAAAAAAAAAAAAACTTCTCATCATGGCTTACAAGGTCCTTCTTTCCCTAATGCCTGCATGCCTTTTCAGCTGTATCTTTTGCTGTTCTTGCCTTCAACTCCCTGCTCCAGCCACAATGAGTCTCAGTCATACTTGGAGTCTCACATTTATATCATGCATTTTTTTCCAACCCAAAGTCTAAATCGCACATTTAATCATGTGTTTTCTCAATGCTAATTAAATTGGGTTGTTTTTTTTGAGACAGAATCTCACTTTGTTGCCCTTGGTAGAATACTGTGGCATCGTAGCTCACGGCAACCTCAAACTCTTTTATTTTTTTTTCTCTCTATTTTTTCATTTTTTGGCCAGGGCCAGGTTTGAACCTACCACCTCTGGTATATGGCGCTGGTGCCCTACTCCTTGAGCCACAGGCACTGCCCCAACCTCAAACTCTTAGGCTCAAGCAATTCTCTTGCCTCAGGCTCCCAAGCAGCTGGGACTATAGGCACCTGCCACAACCCTGGCTACTTTTAGAGACAGTGTCTTGCTCTTGCTCAGGCTGGTCTTGAAACTGTGAGCTCAGGGCAATCTATCCACCTCAGCTTCCAGAGAGCTAGGATTACATGCATAAGCCACCACACACAGCCTGCTAATTAAGGTTTTGGCACTAAAAATCATATTACTTATGTATGTCATTCCTATCAGACTAAAGGTCTAGGTTTAGGACTGTGTATTTTTTAGTTTTCCATTATAAACACATTTTTTTTTAGCAGGGGGGCCGGGTTTGAACCCGCCACCTCTGGTATATGGGGCCAGCGCCCTACTCCTTTGAGCTATAGGTGCCACCCTAAGCACACTTTTGATATACATATTGTATAACAGCACTCAATACATACACATCTGGTGAAGGAATGAACAATATACATTGTATTACAAAAACCATTTCAAGAAGTGTACGAGCACATCTGCATCCATGCCAACTAAAGGAGCTATTAAATTTGTATTTTTACAGCCATTTTATTGTACTTATCATAATAAATGGAAAAGCTTTTTTGTAGCTTTAAGAGACATATTACTAATGTCCTTTCTGTAATTAGTCAAATCAGAGATAATCTAATGAACGTTAATACAGAAAAATCCCTCCCAATAATGTGATTTGTAGAATAATCTAATTTGTACTTACTCAAATCATCCGATATGTCTTCAATTCCTGAAGCACTATCATCAGAATCACCAGTATTATCAGCACGTGTTTGTTGATTCTGAGTTTGTGGTGAGTTTTCCATAGCAGATTTTTTCCCCTCTATAGCCACAACATTCACTTTGTCCATAGAAGTAAAGGAAATTTGAATTTTTTTTCCAATCTGTTGTAATTCTGTCTGTCTCATATTTTCTTTCAATGGTAAACTGGGTACTTTTTCTGCTTCTGCTGAAGAAGTGGGGACCTTTTCTGATTTCATCTGGAAAGTAGGTGCTTTCTCTGCTTTCATTGGTGAATTAGGTGACTTTAGGGATTTTTCTGCTTTTGTCTGTAAACCAGGTGTCTTTTCTAATTTTGCCTGTAAAACAGGTGCCTTTTCAGTTTTCATAGGTGAATTAGATAATTTTTTTGCTTTGCAATGACTTTGATCTCGAAGGACTAATCCCAAATCTTTAGGGCCTAGAACACCAGCAGCATTTACTTTACATGATTTCGCTTCTGTTTTTTCTGTACAATTATCATTTTGTTTACTTTTTTTACTACTATTCCTATTTGGAGAGCTGGTTCCAATTTCTTTTATGGATTTATCATTTCTAGCTTTCAAAGTTTGATTAGTTATAACTTTAACTGCTTTGCTTTCTTCACAAATAGCATTCTTCTTTGGTTCATGATTTTCACTTTTAGAGGTCTTAGACTCTTCCATTATTTGAAAACCTGCTTCTTTCCAATTCTAATATTGTAAAATGGCAGATTTCCAGTAGTTTAAATTGCTTCAAATCCAGTTTAGGCAAGCAAACTATTGAGTTTAAAAAAAAAAAAAAAAGCAACTGTTATTTAAAACGCAAAAAGAAAGCAATGTTTTTAAATAATGAGACATAAAAAATCTTTTAAACTTTGTTCTCAAAAATGAATTGTAAAAAAGGAAACCTAGTAAGACTATGTGAGAAGGAATTAAAGACCAATAAGTAAATAACAACCAAATGCTTATCAAGGGAAATTAAATGTAATTATGGTTTTACAGCCTCAAAATAAAGGACTTTTAGAGAAGCAAAAGTTGTTAAATACTACTCCAAGAATTTCAGCTATTAATAATTAGAAAATATGGAATTTATGCATCACAATTAACATAAAAGGAAATAAGATAAAGAAAACACAAAAAGTCCAATCTTTACATTCTATAACCAAAATTTATACAATCCTGAACAGTAAGATCTTGCCCACATGAATCTCCTATTAAATAGTCCCTATTGGCTTGGCGCCTGTACCTCAAGTGGCTAAGGCCCCAGCAACATACACCAGAGCTGGCAGGTTCGAATCCAGCCCTGGCCTGCCAAACAACAATTGACAACTCCCACCAAAAAATAGCCGGCCGTTGTGGCAGGCGCCTATAGTCCCAGCTACTTGGGAGACTGAGCCAAGAGAATTGCTTAAGCCCAGGAGTTGGAGGTTGCTGTGAGCTGTGACACCTTGGCACCCTACCCAGAGCAACAGACTGAGTCTCTGTCTCAAAAAAAAAAAAAAAAAAGTCTCTACTTATACTTCTAACCTACTTCCACTAGACTCTCTAAACCTGGGGAAATAATGTCAACAGATTTTCTCAAACTCTGAAGTATACAAGATTTTAAATAAAAATTTTTGAAGTAAATTTTAAAAAGCAATAGAAACCCAGAGTTAAAAAGTAACGGTAATAGGCTGAGCATGGAGGCTCATGCCTATAATCCTAGCTTTTGGGGTAGGCAAGACAGGAAAATCACTTGAGGTAAGGCATTCAAGACAAGCCTGGGCAACAGTCAGACCCCTCGTCTCAACAAAAATTAGAAAATTTATCTGGGCATGATGACCCATGACTATAGAGTCCCAGCTACCTGGGAAGTTGAGGAAGGAAGACCGCTGGAGCCCCAGAGTTTAAGGTTGCACTGAGCTGATACCACTGCACCCAAGCCAGGGTGACAGAGCAAGACCCTGTCTCAGGGGGAGGGAGGGAGGTAATATTAAGTATGATACTATAACGATAGACATATGTCATTATACACTTGTAAATGACACAATATATACAGCATATACATTACAAACAGTGAAACCTATTTAAACTATGGACCGTGGGTGATGATAACATGTCAATGTAGGTTCATTGGTTGTTAACAAATATGCTGCTCTGGCACTGGGTACTGCTAGTGGGAGAGGCTATGCATACAAGATGACAGGGTATATATGGTGACTCTTTCTACTCAATTTGCTGTGAACCTAATATTGCTCTCAAAAAACAATATCTAAAAAAGTGACAGAAAAAATAAAGTTCGTCAGACACATAATCTGTTTTAAAATGTAACAGGAACAATTATATTAAGAAATAGTTAAGTTTATAACATAACATAAACAAATGAAAACACTGCATTTTATTAAATTATATCTATGTTAAAAATATACCTTGTATGCTATATTTTGTGAGGATTATTTTTTACCATTCACCTTGCCCAAAATGCCTTAAATTCAGATTAATGTCTCCAAATAAAGATTAACAATATAAATAAAAGTTAGAGTCCTGCCAGCAGAAGCAAACTGCACTGAATTGAAAGGAAACAACTTTGACTTTAGGTGGTTAATTTACTAAATCATAAATTGGGCAAACACTTCTTATATAACCACACATCATGTGAACACAAAAACATTACCTACAATAAAGAGCTCAAGGCCAGGCACGGTGGTTTGCACCTGTAATCCTAGCACTTTGGCAGGCCAAAGTGGGTGGATCACCTGAGCTCAGGAGTTCAAGACCAGCCTGAGCCAGAGAGAGACCCCCATCTCCAAAATAGCTGGGCTGGGGTGGCTGGCTCCTGTAGTTCCAGCTACTCGGGAGGCTGAGGCAAGAGAATCACTTGAGCCCAAGAGTTTGAGGTTGCTGTAAGCTATGATGCCACAGCACTCTATCGAGGGTGACAAAGTCATACTCTGTCTCAAGAAAAAAGAGCTTAAACACAAGCACTTACTCCAAACTATGTACAGAGTATGCAAAAGCATATTTCTAGGAAAAAAGAAAAGAAAAAACTGATTAAACTTACCTAAGTGTTTCCACACTAAAGTATGTTATTCAACTTGCACCTAGCTTTTATAATTCCTATTTGTAGTATCATCTTCTACATTCTGCCTTGATCTCGGTCCAGAGTAATATTGTATTTTATTAAATTCTTCTTTCTAAATTATTATACAAAGTAACATTTTAAGAAGTTATCATAAAAATTAAGTCAAAATCATATCAGATTTTCACCATTAGTTTTTTTTACTGTTTTCCAGTAGAAGCTATAGCAACTTGTAACTGTAAAAGAATGCTTCTACTCCTAGCTTTTGAATATTTGAATTTTTTAATCAATATATTTTTTCTTTTACTATTTCTAATATGGTATTCTACCTAACTTTCAAAAGAGCTGACAAAATAAATGCCTATTTCTAAATTCTCATAGGAAGTGCTGCATTTCTAAAATAAAAATGAGCTCTACTTCTAGAAGACTAGTTTTACCCTGTCTGGTAACCAAAATCTCTAAATTTTCCTGTGTGTGCACACATGCCTTTATGTTTGAATTTTGTGGGGTTTTTTGTTTGTTTTTTTTTGAGACAGCCTCACTATGTCGCTCATGAGTGCCATGGTGTCACAGCTCATAGCAACCTCAAATTCTTGGGCTTAAGCAATCTCTAACTCCTGGGCTCAAGCGAGTCTCCCACCTCAGCCTCCCAAGTAGCTGGGACTACAGGCACCCATCACAACACTCAGATATTTTTGTTGTTGTTGCAGTTGTCATTGTTGTTTTAGATGGCCCAGGCCAGGTTCAAACCCACCAGCCTCAGTGTATTTGGCTGGAGCCCTACCCACTGAGCTACAAGCGTTGCCTTTGTTTTTGGAAACAGAGTCTCACTCTGTTGCCTGGGCTAGAGAGTAGTGGATCACTGCAACCTCAAACTCCTGGGGTCAAGTGACACCCCCTCACTCAGCCTCCAGAGTAGCTGGGGCTGTAGGCACATGCTACCATGCCTGGCTAATTTTTCTGTAAAGATGTTGTCTGGCTATGATGCTTAAGCTGGTCTTAAACTCACGCAATCCTCCCACCTTGGCCTCCCAAAATGCTAGAATGGTAAGCATTACTTGCTCAGACAAAGTATCTTTAGATTTCCTAATGCTATTGTACCATGATTCTTTAATAATTTCATAGATGTCATCTTACTGACAATAGCCATAAAGAAAG